GGCCACAACAGTGTCAGCAGGGCCGGGCACGTCACGGCCGCCAGCGCACGGCACCTGACCCCACGTGGCCCGAGCAGCCCGGCCTAGATCAATAGCTCACGCCGAAGGCCCATGGTTCGCTAGGCGGTCCAACAATTACACAATAGTACATCAGTTATCAAAGGCAACCAGTGCAGCAATAAAAAAGCACAAAAAAATGAAGATCACTATGTCATGACAAAAGAAGACTGGATCCAAACAAAAAGCACCGCCAAAGTACAGAGGTCATTACTGACACCGCACCGGACCCGTGGGACTTGACGCGGTCACCTGCTTATTGAAGGGCAGCTGCTGCTTCAGGGAGTTTGCCAGACTGCCCTCGACGTGGTGATTGTTGGCGACGTAGTAGACAAGTACCAGAGCACACACACCGAACACAGTCAGCATGCCGCACCGGCTGATGCGCACCGTGCCGCCCATGTTCATCGTGCCGCCTGTAAGACAACGCCACGCTCTGGAGGACGGAACCGGCTGACACACCCACACACGCGTGCGAGTCGTTAGTCGTGGGGCCACTGGCAAGACGAACACAGACGCACGCGCGCGTTCGTGGTGCCACCTGCGAAACGAACGGCCACAGGTGTACGCACACGTGTTGACTGTTCCGTCTGCAGCGGGAATAGGACCGCAAAAATGGCCCTGTTAGCGAGAGGGTCAATGTCCAATACTAGTGAAACTCCAGCTTGGAAGCAGTTTTTTTTACTACAATCACACCAGATGACTACATTCTGGTGGTTTCACGGTGAACAAGACAAGCGGGACTGTGCTCGGATTGCACTGCCCCAGATGCATCCGTGCTCAGGATGCGCTGCCCCAGATGTATCCGTGCCTAGTGACTGGGCAAAAAGACCAAAGTAGTTTATTGCATCCATTTTAATGCATGCCTTCCAAGCAGGAGAGCTAGGAGTACCTACAGATGAAGAGATCGTCACATTCGGCATCTGCACCCTCCCCCCCAAAAAAACTGAAACGTTGGTCTTACCAAACTACTCTCAGTTACACTTACTTACTCTTACCTACTCCACCCTTTCTTACTCTTGAGAAAATCATGTCCACTAAGGTGCACTCCAGGCCAGCATCGAGTCAGTCTGCTCAGTCAACAACCCCTCAATCACCATGCAACTCACTTTCAAGCCCGACAACGCGAACGCTGTCACACCCGTCCAATGGCAGGGGAAAGCTTCTTATTCTTCAACATATTTCAGGCTGTTTTGGGTCCAATAAACATGAGAACCTATTTTTCAAAATTTCCTGAATTTCAAACAATGTGAGATCCCGAAACGTTGCATCTCATGCCTCAATATATCAAAGTCGATCCCATGCCAGTTCAGGTTTGTGATCTAGTGCAAAGACATTTATGTCCCGCAAAATGTGCTTTCTAGGGCTGGGTTCCCATAGTGCAATGATCACGCTGCACTCTGAGAAACCAAATATAAGGGCTTCGACCCCGCGATGTCCGCCAATCCTACCAGGGTCAGAGGCAGGCGACGCCATGGTGCCCGCCATTCCTGCCAAGGTGAAAGGCGGGAGACGCCATGTAGCCTCAACAGCTGGTTGTGTCGAAAAGCCCTAACGCCATGTTCTGGATTGAACTCAAGCTTTATTTAACTCCATGACAATGGAGTTTTGAATACTCATCAGAATGATGGCATTCAATACACAGCTACATCAACCATGCCAAGAGAAAGACCCTAGAAACAATACTGGACCCTTATGACATGCTTTGACATATCCCGAGCCACATCCAAAGACCTGATGGGAATAATGTGAGCCATCCTGCATCATTTTCTTATCACTTGAACTGATTTCACCACAACCATGTGGCTTAAACAATCAAAGCCAGCTAGACCAGAGCTCCAAAACAGCCATCTGATGCGCGGCGCGCCCGGTGGAGGGCGGAAGACTCGGATTGGTTCCGATGCTGCATGGTCCCGCCAGCCGCTGGCAGGCTAAATCTGCTTCTAGTCACACAGAAGGGCTCAAAGCAGGAACCAAACCTTAAGCCATTGGAGAAAGACTGCAGATTCATGATGCTGAAGATGTAGTTAAAGTAAGCTTTGCCATATGTGTGGTGAGTTGGTATATTCTGTGCCAAAATATGTATGAACTTGATATGATAGTGGTAAATTAATTATTTTTTAATTGTCAACATTAGCTCCAGTTCCAGTCAAAGCTATAGTTTAAGCTTTCCAGTTAAAGCTCTCCTTGCTTATACAGAGGTTAGACTTTGCATTAATTGTGGTATCTTTCCACAGGAGAGATACCTGGACTAAGCCTAGACTAAGCTCTCCAGTCCCCTTTTTCTGGTTGAGCTGCTGAGCACTGCCTATGGTAAAGCTTTTGTATTCCTTGACCAAATCTTCTTGTCAGTGTACAAGTGCAAAAAAATCCCCTGACATCACCTAGAAAAGGTCCTAACTTTTCCTCAACTTCATGCCAGCCATCTTGACATGGTTCATGCTGCTACATCAGCAGTTCTTACAAGAATGGGCTAAGTAACTTACTTTGAATGCAGCTAAAGTTGCTTTAGTTATCACCATGAAGCATTTATCAGTTTGCATAACAGAATTTCCAGGTGAATTAACACAACCATGAAATGGCAAATCCCACTCAGAATCCCACAAAGGCACTGCTTTGTCACATGAGGCCAAAGACATTAAACAGCATATGTCCTGGCAGCTCATAAAGATACTACATGGCATTGCATTGTATTGCAAGGTCAGAATATAGGATTGCACCTCTTTGACAATGAAGGCCATAGATCTTAGGCAGGAATCATCAAGTCAGCTTTAATACAGGTACATAGCAGTGGGCATTATTTCATTATACAGCTGGCACTGATCCTAGAGAACTTGCGGGGCAAGGCAGGCACTTATTCACAACTCACCTGCCAAAGGAATACAAGAACACGCAAGCCAGCCTAATGGCATACCTGCCTAAATAATGCCTGCCATTTGGCCAGCTGTCAAAAACATATACTGCAGAGGGCATGCTACTGTAAACATGTCTAGCACAGCAATGCCATTCTGGCAACAATTTCAGCACATGCACTCTATAAGCCTCAGAGCCTGAGTAATATGTGCAGGCACCACCAATTTCAAAGCACAGTGAATCAATGCAACTTCA